AAAGATTACAAACTCTCAACGGTATATTACGACAAAGCCCCCAGTTTCCCACGGACGGGCTGAGTTTCAAACGCCCGAGTCCCGCGGCGCCGCGTCTCCCATCAACCAGAAAGCTGACCGAGCTTCTACTTGCCATCGCCGTCTCACCGAGTTTCGGCCGCCATGGCTTCGGGTGCAGGGCAGTACCGCGAGAGTCACAGGCGACGGGCTAGTGGTTTGAGCCAATGGAGAGCGGGCCGTGCTGTTTGATAGGACAGGTGGCCTCAGCCAATCACGGCGCGCTGTTCAACGCAGGGGCCCGAAACGCGTACGAGTTATAAAGTTGGGGCGGGACCAGCAGGTATTTGGTAAAGTGTACAGTGCAACTTTTTTAAAAAGCACTAAGGAGAGACAGGTCTCAATTCAAAAGAGTAGTCCTCAGTGGTCTATTAATGACACACGAGAAGTGAAGTGATTGTTGATGCCGCATTTAGTATTTCATGTTTGTATAGGTATGATGATATGTTCGTGAACGAGTGGTCTTAAGAAACACTGTTTAAATGTCAACGTGGGTTAGTAAACATGGGTTCAAGGTGGAACGGGTCGCATGGGGTTCAATTGCGCCGCTCCGAGCCAAAATACCTCGGTTCAGTTGTCTGGCGCCCAGCCAGGATGTGGAGTTAAGGCTTTGTCTCCAAGGTATGCTGCATAAGTTAATTGAAAATAGGTAATTAGACGATAATGACTTGGACACGTTGAAGTATGGACCGGTCGTACCCTGTCTACAACGACAGAATGTACCTTCTTGTGTCACGCTTTAGGCAAAATGGAGAGATAATTGATGCCAAGAATTACATTTATGAGTCGCATGTGGCTATCCAGCCCTGGCTTTTCCAAAAGTCTCCAGTATTGTGGCAAAGAATAGCCTCATGAAAGCGCAAAATCAATTGAAGGAATTGCAGTGATCATGTATTAATCATGTGTGTTTTGTTTTGGCTTTACTTGGATGTGAAAACGTCTAAGTAAGCACAATGCGTGTGTTTCAAAAGCACCGCTTGGCTTTATCGTCTTATGCTGCGTTGGATAGAAAAATTTGTATGCTATGATTGTATGGATTGTATGAGTAGAATATGTAGGATATAGAAAAACGGATGTTAGTTATTTTTATACCTGTCTCAAATATGTGTTCACAAAACGCAGGACCCAAAAGACAGCACACAAGGCGGTAAATAGCTTACAGATTACAAGTGGCTTAGTTGTTACCATTCTATATTGGTTGGGTGATTGGTATTAATAGAACATAAGGATACATATGAAACTACGCGCCGTAAAGTAGCAAGTACAAGAAGCTTGCTACTACAAAGGGGGCACGGTGATAATGCTCTCTTCTTTTGTATGGTAAAAACGGATGTTCTATATTGGTAAAACAGAGAGAGGCAATATGGTCCGAATGATTTGCTGACTCATTAATCAGTCCCCTCACTGAAAACTACAGAACAAAGTAATGCTCCAATACTATTAATTGACTGTTGTCTGGGCTAATGAGGATGAATAAAATGGTTAAGAACTATTTATATTTCTATTGGGAGTTAAATCCTCCACAAAAACCAAGTTTGAACAGTGTCTGTGTGCATGAGTTCATTCAGTATGAACTCATGCACACAGACACTGTTCAAACTTGATCTTTATCCAGAGATAAAGAAGAAGAAGAAGAATATAAAACATGGAAATAAGGAACAATGATAATTTTCCATTTGATGTAACGGTACAACTGTGTGTGTGCATCTTGTAATTGTGACACATATTTACTGAAGAAGAAGGAGATGCAGAATATGTGTGCAATATGATTTTAATTTGACTTATACAAACAGGAATTCAAGTGGTTAAATAACACTACGTTTTAAAATGGATTAGGTGGTTTACTAAACCTAAATTTAAAAAAAACACTCAAAAACTCACAACCCTTGGCTTTTCCTAATTGTAAAAACTCAGATTATAGTACACATTTTAATTCAAATGTCGGTCAGAGTATAAAGATAAAATCTACAATTTATGTCAACAACGCTCAGACTAGTAATTCACAAGCGTCTGATGTGTAGATATTTGACCTGTGTATCATAGCATAAACAACATAAAAATCTCTCCTGTATTTTAGATAAAACCACAGAAAAAACTTCAACATCAATTTATTATAAAAAAAACATCACAATCAAAGCACAAATTTTAATATTTAGAAGTAAAGTTAAATTAAACACAGAGATAAATTCAGTATAGTAGAGTTTCAACACATCATTAGAGAGCACTATGCAATAACTTCCCTCAAATTGAGGTAAATGTACGTCATGAAAAATTGATTTATTATTTCATAGCCAGAAAAATGTGGATTACACAGTTTACAAAGAAAACAATTTAATACAATACGGTGTAGTAGTGCGGACACATTCCAGTTTTCATCTCTGAGAAGAATCTTAAAAGAAATCTAAGTGTATAATTGTTGAACTCACTCACAAGCACAAAATGTACATATATATTAGTATATGGTTTTGTATATGGAAAAAATTTAAACATTTCCAATGGCTAATAACAAAGAAGTCTCTTTTTTCGCAAGAATTGTAATAAAAGTCACAGGAGACAAATTAAAAATGGGTAATTTCAACACTGTGAGTTTTATCAGATTTTTAGTTCATATTCATTACTTTCTGTTACCTTGTGTTGATCATTATCTGCACAGTACATTAGAGCTCTTTCCAAAAAAGGATACTCAACTGAATGTGTTTTGTCTCCAAAACACTGAACTCGACCCATTAATTACTGCTCTTTGGTAATTGGAGTAGTTCTTTGGCCAGCATCCGCACGGACAAAACAACTTTAACAGGATAACACTGGTATCTAAAAGGCCTTTGATTCTACTGCATCCATCCTTTGCACACCATGTCTTACTAAATCTTGAGTGTTTAATCTCCCGTAATTACAAAGATTTGCTTAGGTTAATAAAAAATAATCCGCCTCAATTGAGACCCCCTACCTGGACCTCCCCTGTGCCTTCTTTGCCCCTTTCTGTGAGGGATAAATTCACAGTCATATAAATAGAGTCACCTTCACAACCGTGAACCACAACTCAGGAGCAAAAGGCTGTTGGATATTGAGAAAGTAGTTTGGTTCGTCAGGTTTTTCAGAGAGGCGGAAACCTTTAATTAAAATTTGTTGCTAAACAAATTAGCCGTATTTAGTCTTATAGACTGACGTCATTTCCACGGGTTGAGATTGTGTCGCTCGTGAGCGCGTCAAGGTTAACAACAGTTGAGAGGCTCATCTTTATCTGTGATCTTGTCAACAGTAAGACTTCGGCGAAAGAAGCGAGGCTCATTGGGGCGGTCAGTTTGTGAAGGGTCCTGCACTTTAAAAGAAAATAGCCATGCTGTGAAATTCAGAAACAAAATTCTGAGAAGACTCTTGGGAGAGACACTTTTCATCTATCAGCTGATATTTATTCTGCAGCCAGTTTGGAACCTCTGAAATGAGTCTGAGATATCTTAATTCAGAGATGACGATGGAGGACAGAAGCAGCCGCATCGGTGGCAGAGAAAGGCTGGGACTGAGCTTCACTATTGACTACCTTCTGTTCAATAAAGGAGTCAAAGGTTCTAAAGAAGAAGCGACAGGAAGTCGTACGGCAGAGCAGACAGCGAGCAACCTGCTAAATCATCAGAATCCTACACCCAAAGAGGTGGGGATTCGCTCTGAGATACAGGAGAAGCAGGTACAGAGGTCAGAGGCAGAGACTGAAGACAGGAAAGTCAAAGAAGAGGAGGGGGATGAAGAGCAACAAGAGGAGGGGGAGGAGGAAGTGACCACCACCACATCTACCAGCAGCAGTCCAGAGAAGTCGGCAGACAAACCCAACCAGTCGTACATCGCACTCATTTCTAAGGCAATCCTGGCGTCGGAGCAGAAGAAGCTGCTGCTATGTGACATCTATCAGTGGATCATGGACCACTACCCGTACTTCAAGAGTAAGGTATGTTCACCTCAGTCTTCTTGTCTTATTTTAGTTGCCTGGCAGTCAGAGAGCAACCTAATGGCATTGTGAGAATACAATAGTTGTAGCTGTGGGGGAATTCAAAAAAGTCAAACTGGGTGATAATGTGAACGTGTGTCTGTGGGACTATTTCAACATGATTCATGCTGTGTTACTATAACTCGTCACAGCAAATGAAAGGCAATCGTGAGACAGACCATGAGTGAGCGTGCTTTGCCCAAAGTCTTCTGCATGTTTCATTCAATCGCTGACAATAATGTGGCAGCCATTTTCACAAGTGAAGCGACCTACTTGGCACAGGTAATCTGTCTGAGTGGTTAGGCAATTAGGTGCTTGCAGGGACACTAGATGATCTTCTTGTTGGCAAATTCACAAATAAAGTAATCCTGTTGCTAGGTTGCAAACTGACTCTGCCTTTACCAGGTGCAACAACAGATTGGATGTAGCCTAGTGGATTAAAGTTGATCACTGGTTTGACGTGCTAAAAAGGTAACTCAGGGTGTTGTGTCTTACTGCGATCATATATGGTCTTGACACGCTGTCACGAATCCTGCCAACAACAGGACAAGGTGACATCCTGAAGAGGATCAGAGATACTTAACAGCCACCTTTGGTAATTTTCAATTGGGGACTTCATTGTTTAACTCTTACTTAGTGTTCAGGTTTTAACCATATTTCTTCTCTCTCAACAGGATAAAAACTGGAGGAACAGCGTGCGTCACAACTTGTCCTTAAACGATTGCTTCATCAAAGCGGGCCGCAGTGAAAACGGTAAAGGGCACTTCTGGGCGATTCACCCCTCAAACTACCAGGACTTTTCTAACGGCGACTACCACTGCCGGAGGGCGCGGCGGAGGGTGCGCAGGGTGGCAGGACAGCATCCCCTTTCCTCCCTGAGCTCCCCCTACCACCCTGCCCTCGCCCGGCCCCACAGAACGACCTGTTGGTGCTGTCCTCAAGTCCAAACACTTCCTCTCTCCTGCTTGGCGCCCAGACTCTACTGGCCATGGTCCAGTGTGCAGCCTCAAGTGGGGCTCCATCCGGGCCTGCGTGCCTCTGTACTGTGAGAGTGAATAGGTTGTATTTTAGAGGTATTCTAAGTAATTTGCTAATGAATATGTCATTAGGTGATGTTAAAATTGAAGTGTACTTGGACAATGTTACATTATATTAAAGGCAAAGTGATTTTAGGATGTTCAACGATTGAATAAAATATATGAAGCTGCACTTCTTTCATTTATATTCCGAATGTTTTTTAGAATAACAAAAACACAATGTTTTGTTGTGATCTCATTAAATCATATTGAATTCAACTCCTTGCGATGTTTTTAATCAGCTGCCTCAGCTGTGTTGTGTGTGTATGTGTGTGCAGATAGCACTAAAAGTGAGCCCAATGCTGAAATACCACCCGGTGTTAGATGCTAATTAGTCAAAGCTGTCGGGATGCAAAATCTTCTGCCTTAAGAGACTAAAATCAGGCTTTCCAAAGCCGACTCCCAAGGATATGAGGCCAGATAATCTCAGCAATCCCAAATAGTTTCAAGAAATGGGAAGCTTATCACACAGTGTAATCCGTAACCACTGCTGCAGAAAGAAGGGGGACCACGGGAGGTCAGGGATGAAGGAAGCGGAGGAAAGGGAAGGAGGCAGAGAGAGAGGGAGGTGACGCTGATTTATGGGAGAGAGGTGGGAGGGCTTTATTTGGGAACTGTGTACTGTATTTGTTCAGAAGAGCTGGTCAGGGCAGACAAATGGAGCAACTGGAATAATGAAAGACATTTTTTTACGTTGAACACAAAGTCACAGTTAAAATGAATACAGTACATATCTTACTGTTAAGATCTATCTGTGTGATTTTTGGCACATATCATAAAGGGACATCCTGAAAGTGATCTCTAAAGCTGGTTCAGTTCAGTTATAAGATGACTCCAAAATATTGTCATAACAAGAATCAAGTCAATTTTTACCTGTCCGGCTCTCACATCAATAGTGAAATTCCTCTCTGACTTGCAAAGGTTGGCATTTACATCCACAGTGGTCCAGCCTAAGAGGATTAGGTCATACATTGACTTTTCTGAAGTTTGTTTGTCTCAGCTCATGTGGGCTTCTTATTTGCAAATTATTGAATATTTGAATAAGGCGATATTTGACATGAAATTAGATTCTACACAGACAATAATATGTCAGACGGATAAAGCTTAAGAGAGAGAGCGAGAGAGAGAGAGAGAGAGAGAGACAGCGTGTTAACCAAACAGTTATATCTTCTGGCGATGCTCATTAGAACAATGACAAATCCATCTAATTAATTTTTGTTCACCAAATCTTCCTATTCAATGTCAGCAGCTAATTGGAGACCTAATTTGCTTAATTCCCATGAATTGCTCTCTGCATCAAATCCTCTTCAATTCACCAGCTTTAAGGCTTTAATTTGGTTGCATATGTTTGCTGTACACACACACACACACACGCACACACACATCCAAGAGTTTACATTTCACACACACACACACACACACACACACACACACACACACAGCTCCTAAACCTTTCGCAGAAACACACATTTTGTACACGTAACAAATTACAGTGAGGTATAAAGCCTGTTATGTGATGAGATTTTGTATACATTTTAAATAATATATTAGCAGCTGAAATATATTAAGTGTTGATCATGTTTTTCTTGTTAAAAGCTGTTACTGTAATACTGTAAATACTGTAAATAACATTACTTATTTTCAACATACAAACATATAATTAACTACCTTTCTAGGAGAATAAGATTGAGGTCATAAACTGTGTGTGTGTGTGTGTGTTCATTTGTGCATGTCATTTTGTTAATCTAATGGGATGGGCGGAGGGGTGCAGGGGGCCGTAGATTAAAGCACAAAGATTTGCTGCTGATTAGCAGAGAGTGAGGTAAGAAGATCAGTCCTGCTGAGATGGCGATGAAACATTATGGCCGTGTTTTAATACAATACATTTACAGCAGCATTCCAAAGCTGATTCCCCTTAGCTTACATGTATCTCATTGATTTGAGTGTAGACTGAACATACAACTGTTTGAAAAACATAGGGCGAAGCCTGAACGTGTATGTAGCAAATTGATCAAACACATAAGAAAAAGGAAAAAGTTGCCTAGATTTTCAGCTTGAAGCTTATGTTGTGTGCAGTGTGTGAAATGATTCAACACTTTAAAATAAAATAAACATACTGTAATTGTAGAATCTAAAGCATCTCTGCCTTTCTCCTCTCTCAGTGACACTGGGAATAGTTACACTTACACACATTATTACAAGATCACATTATTATTATATAGTTATACAAATAACTTGAAATAAATGTGTTGTAAAAAATTATGTTTAATTTTTCATTTATAAATGTAATTTATTATATTATTTAATTCCCTGCAGAAATAGCCTCTATAGCTCTTTATTCTTTAAGAATTTAAAGAAACATTTTTATTGTCAGATTTGATGTAGGGATTTTTGTATGGTCTAAACATTAAAATACACAGATTTAT